ATGAAAAAAAACTGCATTCCTAAATTGCAAAAATTAGAGGAAAGAAACAATGAAGACTTCTTTGCTTACAAAAAGGCCTGATCCTTTGACCATTTTGTGAGGCTATTTTTTGAAAATCAAAGAACAAATTATACCTTTTGCTGGTGATCTGGACTAATTAAGGTGACGATTAAAGTAGCTGTAGGGTGTGCTTTGCACAAGTTAAGCACAGTATCTTCCATCTTACTTTAAAATTTGATCCCACTGCCCAGAATAGCTTTGGTCTCAGGGATGGTTCTTTATCTTTCCCACTGTGCCTGTGCTGTGTTTCATAAGCAGTCCATGTTTTAGTTTGGTTATGGAGTTTTTGTTTTATTTTGGTTGGATTTTTTTTTATTCTCCTTTATTTATTATTTTCCTCCAAAACAGGATGGTTTAATCAATGCTCAAGCTACTTACTTCATATTTAAACTTCATCAAAGGCTTCTAGTGTTGGTTCACCTCAATTCAGTTGCTCCCCCTGTTAAATTGCAYTGATTTTAAGCCAAATCTTGCTTAATCTGCTGGAAAATGTTTGCACATACATCAAAGGATGGAACATCATGAAGGCAGGAATATGAATGGGAAAGATGAGTGGCAGAATAACTGTTTGATCACAGTTGTCTTCCTAATTTTACTCAAAGCTCACTTAACAGATGTTCTTASAGATTATGTTTAACGTCGTTGTGCTGTTGCCTTCAGTCCCATATCTCACACATCTCAAAATACCCAAACCTGCCCCTCTTTTAGGACACTRTAGTTGAGTTTAAGTCATGAACATTTTAATTCCTCATCGCAAAGGCTTCACTGAACGAGACAATAGCAGGTATGAAGGCTTTAATTTGGCAGTTTTAATTTGCAAAGGCTTTAATTTGCAAAGTTTTGCTGTACCACTCCTGCTCTGAAGATCAATGATGTGCTGAAGAAGGATTTCATACAAAATCTGCTGACACTCATTCTGGAGAGAGCAGGAGCCAGGAGCCTATTCCTGTATTGTGGGYCCCTAATCATTAGATCAGTTGCTTGCAGGCTCAAAAGGAGACATTTAGGGACTTCATCCATTTCACGCATTTCTGTGTTTTCCATAACTGGCTTGGCAGCTGTTCTTTATTTAATTTTTTTTTTTCAGAAATTGTACTGATACCTTTATAAAAACCTGTGTTGAAATCATGAGTAGTATTCAGAAGTGCCTCTTCTGTCCAAAAGTTGCAGAAATTTTATGCTTTTACATGCCCAGTTTTCTTTAATTCTGTCCTTAAACATMGTGAGTCCTTATCAGCACACAATCAGAAGTAATTTATTTTGAGGTCACATGATTTCTGTCAGCGACACTTTCCCTTTATAATGTAAATTTGATGATCTGCTTTGGTAATTATGATACTTCTAATGTGACTTTGGTCAATGTACACTTCAATTAGACAATTATCTACATTAACACCTGTGCTTAACTCCTTAAATCACTGAATGTCAGGGGCAAGTGAACCACTTTATACTAAATGGGAAATTGCAGATTCATTGTACATAAATCTCTGATTTGCTGACATTTGAGCAAGAGTATTTTAAGGAGGGAAATATCTTCCTCCTAGAGAGAAGCACAGACAGAGCAGATAGTCTGATAGAATTTTCCATATAAAGTTTTGTCAAAGCAAGAATTTCAGAGAATTTGGAAAACTTTACCAGTCACATTTTTTTTCACCCACTGGTGCTTCCAACAGCATCATTGGTCCCCATTATGAAAGAGAACCACCATTTGGGAAGGTGAAACTTTCTCCACCAGTTAAAGAGAGGAAGGAGTAGCACTGGAGCAGCCTGGATACATCAGCAAGCAATCAAAAGTAAAATTAGGAAAATAAAAATGACAGGTAAGAAAATTATGTAAAGACCATGTTATAGACCACTCCTGGTTGCAAAAGAAATTAATATTCAGCAGATGATTCCTTTTTGATTCATTAAAATGTCCCTCTTCTTCTTCTTCTTCTTCTTCTTCTTCTTCTTCTTCTTCTTCTTCTTCTTCTTCTTCTTCTTCTTCTTCTTCTTCCTGTTCTTCCTCTTCTTATTCTTCTTCTTCCTGTTCTTCCTCTTCTTATTCTTCTCCTTCTTTTCTTCTTCTTCTTCTCTTTGTCTTCATTTTCTTTTTGGTAGAAAAGAGATTTTCTGATCATCCTCAAATTTGTGTCAGCTAAAGGAACACAGAGCTCTGTGTGGGAAGGGGAAGCCTGATGGGAAGGGGAAACTCCAACCCTTGTGTGGGGAATTGAGTGCCCTAGGTGGCCCAACGTGTTTAGAGAGTTGTGGGTGGCACTGGAAAGGAGTGGAATCTGTAGCTGAGTTCAAAGGCCTCTTAGTCAAACTTACCCAGTGCTAACAACATTGGGATATTGTTATTATTATAATTATTATAATTATTATTATCATTATTATCAKTAGTAGTAGTAGTAGTAGTAGTAGTAGTGGTATTTTGGTTTCTTTTATTTTTTATTTCATTTCATTTAATTTAATTTATTATTTTGTTACTTTATTTTACTTTATTTTATATTTTTATTATTTTTATTTTATTTTTGGTTGTACAGTTGGCCTGAATTAAAAACTAAACTTTATCCCTGTTTTGCCTACCCAGCTATGCCTCCATGAATCCTCTGTTAAATGTAACCAACAACTGGGCTACCACTACTCAGGCATATCATATGAAGCTGATTACAGACACCTAGAGCCTAAAATGACAATTACAATTGTTTTCCTTTAAAATTGTTAGAAAAGCCTGATAATATCCTCACTGTTTTTTGATAATGTGCTCAGTGTTTTCAACATGTAATATTGGTAAAATCTGCASATGAATAAAATACATTTTTAAAACCCTGTAAAATCCTAATATTTTATTCAYATTTTTCTACTAGAAGTGTTGCTATCTGTGTTTTATTTTGAAGCTGTTGTACATCAGAAACTGCTGCCATTACATTTGGAGCATCATAAAAATCTACACAATACAGACCTATTTTTTAGGAAATAGTTGGGAATCTTTTAAAAGGTCGCTGTGTCTTGAGGCACCAAGAATATCTGCCTAGCCAAGGTTTCTGTAAGAGCTTTTGCAATTTAAAACAAAACAGAAAATAAAGGCAATTTAATAAACGTAAACTAAATTTGAGAGACAGTAAAGTGAATAATGAATCAACAGGCAGGACTGCTCAGATAACACAAAGTGTCGTGGTTCTGCTCAGCCCTGAACCCACTGAGCAATAACAGATTGCTCATGTTGCTTTCTAATGCTACTTAATTCATTTGTTTAAAGGYACAAATGTGAGCTGCATGACATCCCAGATGTGAGCCTGGAAATGCCAGCAGCGACAGCACCTTGGCCATGTCCCCCACCTTCCAGGTGATCTGGGGATAACGCTCCACAGAGGCCCTGGCAAACACATTTCTGGAGCTCTTTGATCTCGTTACAGAGAGCAAGGTGTGTCTGCAGATTCTTCCGAAGGCAAGATTTAGTTAATTGCTCTTGCACAATTTCTGGTTTGTCCTCTGCGTGRCAAAGGAGCGTTTCCACACCTAGTGCAGGAAGGGACAGTGTGTCACTTGTCGTGCCTCCAGCTCTTTCAATAGCTCATGGGAATCATCAAACCTCTAGTGTGTGATACCATGGCATTAACATCTCCAAACAATTAGCCACAGCCTCGTGTTGATTTAAGATAACGCAATGCAGTCAATGTTTCCCTTGTGCTTTCTGTAGGAACGGACAGGACCTGGCTCACTGCACTCGTTGTGCTGCGTTCTGTTCTCAGCCACTTGCAAAACCTCGTGYAGTAACACACAGAACTCAAAATAGATTCAATGGCTGTGAGTCAAAAAGGAGAATCTCACTCCTGGCACACAACTTCAGAAGGAAGAAGAAATTCTGTTATTGCAGTGGGTTTTTTCTGGCAATACCATAGGTTTAATTTCTTCAGAAACAGAAGTGCAAACCCAGAGCCCAAGGAAAAGTGGTGTCAGTGGGATAATTACTCAGGGGAGCAGCTGGAAGCGGTTAAATGAAACCCTGCCTCCCTCACTGGCCACAAACAAATGTGTAAACAAAGGGTATCAGAGCCAGGACAAGCTCTGCAAAACCCTAGAAGTGTTCTGGTCTTTCAGTGTATTGGGGTCAGTGGATTGAGAGCTGCCTAAGTTGAATTTCACATCTCAGGGACCATATTTAAAAGCCATCCATATGCCATCTTCGGCGAATTTCTCCGGCTCCACCCTGAAATTTCTCTCATTAGATGCCAGAGTTTCCTACCACACTGGGAATATCTGGGGAGCACTGGTAAAAGACAAAAAAAAAAGGTTGTCCTATCACTATAAATTCATGTGCACATTTGTAAATGAATGAAACTCAAATGCAAAGCTGTTAACTCTTCTGTCACAAAGTGTAGTAACAAAGATAAACTCCAAATTTGAGCCCCTTTTTAAGTGGCCACAGAATCCCACGACAATAATGAGTTCTTGACTGCCTGCCATATAAAATGAGAAGCAATTGGGCAGATATTGTCTGTAACTCTCATTTACGGGTTGCAGAATAGAAATTTTTGTATCGTCACATCTACTTTTTTCAGGTTATTCAAAATCAAACAAGCTTTTGGCCCTAAAAGGATTAAAAAAAWCAAATCTCACAGAAGTAGCATTGGTTGTGTGCTGCAAATACAGCCCTGAGAGGGGTGGAAAGTGTGTTTTCACGTCATGACTTTGCCCTAATACACATTGTTAGACAATTGTTAGAAGAGAAAGCTGATGTTAGCAAAGATACTCCTAAATTTGGGTGCACTTACTTAATGGAACATCAAAAAGTCATTAGGCACATGGTCCTTCCAGCAGATGAACAAGAATACAAATAATTAAAAGACACCAGGTTTCTAGTGGTGAAGAAACATTCATAACAATAATAAAAGATGACAAAAATCTCTGATAATACCAGGTGACGTAATTTTTATTAATTCTTTATTCCCTGGTTGAGAGGAAATATATATAGTTTATATATATATATAGTTTCAATAGCCTTACACCTATAATGATGTTTAGGGAACTAGACTCTGACACTAACAAGCTCTGTAGAAGTTCACCTCAGAGCTTTTGTGTCCTCCACCAAGGATGACCATTTTCTTTTGCAAATGGATCTGCAGCTGAGCTCCRATTTAATTTCTGCAGAGGGCCGTGGTCTTCTTTCGGTCTGCATTTTCAAACCAGCCACCTACTGCTAYCCATAATTTAATTTCTGAAAATTGCCACTTGAAGAAATCTGAAGTGTGTTAATTTCACCGATGACTCTTTTGAACTGAGTAACTTAAAAAGTTGTCCAGCAACCTCAGATTTCTTTCTCCTCTCCTACTACAGGTTGTTATTACCTTCAGCAGTGACAAAACATTTCATCAACAGCGGTTTGTCGGCGTTGGAGAGCCAAACATCAACAGTGCTTTGCATGCTTACATAATTATATTTATAAATGCAAGTCTGGCAGTCTGAGTCTCATAATAAACCTGGCAGGATGGTGTCTGGTGTGTTTGAGGAGTCAGAGACATTGAAAGTGACCGAAACCATGACCACAAAACCTGTGTTTGTATGTGCAGACCAACTTCTCTTTAAAGCTGAGCCTTCAGGCATCACTTGGAGAGAGGTTACCCTAAAAACCCCCTTGYTGGGTCTTTCTTACCAACTCAAGGCCCCTTCAACCAGCAGAAAAATTATCACAGGTTATGCTGAAACTCCYCTGGAAAATTTTCCTTCTGAAACTTTGCAAATTGGGTGAGAAAGAAGTGGGGAAGTSAAAGGATGTTCCTGATTTATGCAGAGGGGAAAAAAAAACCAAAACACAAACTTTTCTCTGCAGCATTTTTCGAGCGTTCAAGCAGAATTCAGCCACATCCTGAAGAGATTTTGTGTCTTTGTGGTGCAGGGGAATGAGAGGCCAGTGCCAGGAAGGAGAGCCTTGACTCCAGACAAATTAATTACAGTTAGAAATTAATTTAGTCCTAATATGTGGCGATTTCCAGCTGCATGCAGCAAAAATGTAAATTGTCACACAAAGCTGTGGATGCAAGAGCTGTTTGTTTACAAGACAGGAAAACAAATTGASTTTTCATCCTGTTGGGTTTCGGAGTGTGGAGCAGAACCAGCAAGGTTCCAGCCTTCACTTCTCTGCAAATCAGATTAATTACGACATGCCCATAAGTGTATCAATGTTTTTTATCTCAGAGATGAGGGTTTCCAGAAAAMTTGAGATGTCTGGTGTTCCACGTTTCATTTTGCAAAAGAAAATTCCCAACAGCATAATATCAAAGTTGTTGSAAAAGTCTTAACAAAAATGTCTGGGGGTTGGATATTTTGTTGTTGCTTTTTGTTTGATTTCTCTAAAATTCAATAAATGAAAAATCTTGTTCTGAAATGTGCCTATAGAACCTATCACAAGAATTTGGGTTTTCTTGACCTTTAATAGAGTCTAGATACAATTCCAGACCACAAAATCCAGAAAGCACTTATTCCATGCTTTTTGGTAGAGGGAAAGCGACATAAAAAGCCTCCTATTCAGCTGTCATGATAATTGTCTTTTGTTCTAAAAGCATTGAATCCTCAGGGAAAAAAATACTAAATTTTCTGTGGAAAGCAAGCATGCTGTCTGGGGACCAGAAATGAGATTTGAAAGTCAAGTTTTCCTCTCAGACAGTTTTCATCAATATTTTTCTGTCAGTCCTCATAAAAGCTGAAGACACCTCATAGTGCACTTTTATCAGATTTCATCGCTTTGATGTCCTTAAAATGGGTTTCTTCTGGATGAAGAAACACAGAAAGACCGGAGCGGTGAAAAATAAGAGTGTGCAACACAGAACTGGTGGTAGAGATAGGAGATTGGGAAAATGATCAGTTGCATTTACAGCTTAATTTTGTGACAACAAACTCTGAGTCAATTGTCTCGAGTTATATATGAAAAGGGAGGAAAATAATGCTGAAATCTTGATTTTACTGCCTTTTTTCCATCTCTTTCCAGGTGCAAAGCATGTTGAAACCGCCCTGGGTCCGTCACTGTCATTCACTGTGCATTGCTGCACTGGTGGTTATTATTATTATTATTATTATTATTATTATTATTATTATTATTATTATTATTATTATTATTATTATTATTATTATTATTTGACAGAGCTTCCCCACCAGGTCACACCAGACCCTCAGATCAACTTCCAAACCTCGATTTGACCCTTTGTTCATATTGCACTGAGGTTCAAGGAAGGAAAGAATAGACATCAAAAATAAAGGAAGAGAGAAGGAATGAATGAATAAAAGAGAGAAGGAACAAATGAAAAAAGCAAGGCAGCGGGAAAGAAAGAGAATTCTAGAGCACAAGCAAGGGAGAAAATTCAGGAAAGAAAGAAGGAAATAAATAAAATTAAAGAAGAACTAAACACAGAGGGCCAAAATGGTCCCCTGTCTATTGCTTTCAATGGAATTTCTTTGGAACCTCGTTCAGCCCAAAGGGTAAGAGCTTTGTAGATTCCCACAATATCTTGGTGTGAATCGGTGTGAATGACTCATATCTTGACTTTTTCCAGTGTGTTAAGATTTACACGCTGGGCAGCCCCAGAATTATCTTTGAAGTGGACCTTAGTTTCTCCCARCCTCTGAATTTGCTTCTGGCAATGACTTATTGTGGGGACAAGAGTGATTTGGTTTTCTTTTTCATTTTTCATCAATACAGAACTGGAGACTTCGTGCTCTGCAAGCCCAGATGCTCAAGCTTTGTACAAATTGTTTGYAAACAGCCCCAAAACTCTAAACAGGACTTTGTTCCTTTGCTGAGGACTTGGGGCAGGTAAATTTAAGTAAAATG